CCCAAAGTGCTGGGATTATAGGCATGAACCACTGTGCCTGATCATCTTTTTCTTAAACATTTATTCATGTGTCTACTTTTCTTCAAAAAAAATTCTCATTCTTGATGACATTTTGAATTAGTATTTGAGTTCTTGCCATACAAATCAAAATGCTTCTGCTGAATGGTTGCAAGAAAGGTTCATCAACTTGCTATATACTTTCCTATCCTTCATAATGCTCAAGTATTCCTAAACACAATGAAGAATTAAAAATAGAATGAAGAATTAAGAGAAATTCAGGTCAATGGAGTCAACAAATTAACCAATAAATTTTAAAATAATACAAAAAATTTCACTTACCATTCAAATAGTATAGTTTGTAATTTTTTTGATTGATGACAGCATGTTGAAAATAAAAACTTATAAGTTATATAATATTTTCTAAATGATTTCAGAATTTTAAAAAATTCAGATCACTCTTTTTATTAATCAATTTTTTTTTCTGGGACCAAAAATTTATTGCACATGATTTATAATACCATACAGATAAAGCAGGAAAAATATTGAGTAATTCTTAATATGCTTCTCCAAAAGGTTTCAAATTCTCAAACCTGCTAAGATTATACAATACTGTTGACAACATATAAGCTAAATTTCAGTATTTTAACATTCACATGAATTTCTTTAAAATTTACAATTGTCTAACATCTAATGGGTTTATTAAAAAATCATGATGGTTTCCTTTTTTGTTTCATGCTACTTTCATTTTTACATCTCAAAAAAGGCAATCTCAAGAACCCAAAATTAAAAATGTATCAAGTGGCTGGGAGCGATGGCTCACGCCTGTAATCCCAACACTTTGGGAGACCGAGGCAGGAGGATCACCTGAGGTCAGGAGTTCAAAATCAGCCTGGCCAACATGGTGAAACCCCACCTCTCCTAAAAATCCAAAAATCAGCTGCGCATGGTGGCATGCACCTGTAGTTTCAGCTACTCGGAGGGCTCAGGCAGGAGAACTGCTTGAACCTGGAAGGCAAAGGTTGCAGTGAGCTGAGATCGTGCCATTATACTCCAGCCTGGGTGACAGAACGAGACTCAAGTCTCAAAAAAAAAATTATTGGCTGGGCATGGCGTTTCATGCCTGAAATCTTACCATTTTGGGAGGCAGGAGTTCAAGACTAGCCTGGGCAATAGAGGGAGACCCCATCTCTTAAGAGAAAAAATAGCTGGGTGTGGTGGCACACACCTGCAGTCCCAGTTACACAGAAGGCTAATGGGGAAGGATTGCTTGAGTCGGGAGCTGGAAGCTACAGTGAGTTATGACTGTGCCACTACATTCCAGCCTGGGTGACAGAGCAAGCCCCTGTCTCAAAAACAAAAAGAGTATCAAGTATTAGAATTTAGTAAAAATTGCATTTTAAAAACATTACTTCTTTAGTGTTTCTATATACTGTGTATCTCTAACTTTTGGTATTTTATATATAAAAGGAAAACTGAAACATAGCTCAAAATTTACTTTCTATAGCACTTCAAAGTTCAGACTAAAAGGGGATTGTTTGCACCTTAAGGAACTAGGCATAACTGAAATTAATTCTGAGTATTAGTTAACTTCCCAAAGAGAAACTACTTTAGCCACCACTCTTTTGGACTTATTTCCATCTGTTTAGCTGAGAATAATGGCAGATCTCAACAGCCACATCATATGTTACAATCAAAGCTAGATGACATTCTGGCATTGTAGTACCAAGAAGTGATACGCTAATTTTGTTTTGTGATAAATCAACTACAAGTTCACATATTCAAAATCCAGAAGCCCACAGTATGGTAAATATTCCCACTTCACTCTCCCATCTTTTTATCCCCTTTGGATTCTAGAAGTTTGCCCCCTTTTAATAACTATGAGCAACTACTTTTCTGTGTTCCATCTCCCTTCAATCCAACTGAAAGGAAGAATTCAATATCTGAAAAACATCCTTGATACCTCATCCATTCATTTTATTCTTTCAATAAAGTTACTGAGCACCTACTATGTGCCAGGCACTGTATGAGGCATAAAAAATACAAAGCTGAACAATGAAAATGACACAAAAAAATTTCCTGTCCTCATAGAGTTTACAATCTAGTGGTTCTGACATTAATCAAAGCAATACATAAAAAATTACACAAGTTAAATGCTAAGTAGAGGTACATGGTCAGGTGAGATGTATAACAGTGGGTCTTACTCTGTGACAGAAATTAGGAATGCTTCCCTGAGGAAGTGATGAACTAGCTAAGATCTGAAAGACAAACAGAAATTAATTACGCAATGGGAAGGGATAGATATTTCAAGTCAAAGAAACAGCATGACAAAAGTCTTATGCTGAATGAAGCACTGTAATTCTCATTCCAAATACTTAAAGGACAATGAAGGTGTCAGTAAGTAAAACCTGGTACATAATGAGGCTAAATGGGAACAAGAATAGGTAACCCCTATTGAGGGTTTTTTAGGTGATGTGCCAGCCACTGAGACAGCAATTATTTTGATGCTTGGAAATACACTATAGATAGTGGCCCCAATATATTTGACCTATGAGGTCACATAAAATATTTCCTTTTCATCGTTAAGGACAATAAAAAGCCACTGAAGTGTTTTAAGCTAGAGGTACAAGTGGGGGTAGGTGGGTTTTCTTGATTAAAATTGCACTTTGAACAAAAAGAATTCTGCCTGTAGTAGAGTGAATACAGGGAGGGCCAGAGTCGCTGCAGGAAGACTGGTTAGGAGACAACTGCAGTCATACAGACAAAAGATGCTGATGGTAGCTTAGATTAGGGAGTGGTGAGAAGTGAAGTAGACAAATTTGAGAGATGTTTACAAGGTGAAAATGACAGGACTTGATGATGAAGTGATAAGGAGAGCAAGATGTCTTAAGATGATTTCTATGTTACCAGTTTGGGAACTAGGGTGAATGGTGGTGGCATTCACTGGGATAAGAAGGTGTCTTGATTAGACTGTAGGTTAATACAAACTTGTTAAAGAGAAAGTATAACTCCTAACTCCCCTACTGGCATCTATTAAATAAAAACCCACGAAAAAATTTAATTTTTTCCACACATATTTGCCTTTGGTCATACACAGTCATTCTTACATGACTTAACTAGAAATAATGCTTCACCCCCAACTAGTATATATGGGAGAATTTTCAAGTTTTTTTTTTTTTTGAGACGGAGTCTCACTTGGTCACCCAGGCTGGAGTGCAGTGGCACAATCTCAGCTCACTGCAACCTCTGCCTCCCAGATTCAAGTGATTCTCCTGCCTCAGCCTCCCGATTGGCTCAGACTACAGGCATGCGCTATCACACTCAGCTAATTTTTGTATTTTTAGTAGAAATGGGGTTTCACCATGTTGGCCAGGCTGGTCTCGAGCTCCTGACCTCAAGTGATCTGCCTATCTTGGCCTCCCAAAGTGCTGAGATTACATGCATGAGCCACTGTGCCCTGCCTCGAGTTCTAGGATAAGGTGAGAAAAGAAAAAAATTCAAAATACCCAATGTTTTTCACATACATGAAATTAAAAAGCAAAGCACAGAAAGCCTACTACAAAGCTATTGTAATCAGACCTGTTAGAATGACTATTATCAAAAAGACAAAAGAGGAGGGTTGGAGAGGATGCAGAGAAAATAAAAGCTTTGTACGCTATTGGCAATGTAAATTATTATAGCCATTATGGAAAACAGTACGGAGGGTCCTCAAAACACTAAAAAAATAGAACTACCATATGATCCACCAATCCCACAATTTATGTTCAAAAGAAATGAAATCAGTATGTGGAACAGACATCTGCAATCCCATGTTCATTGCAACATTACTCACAATAGCAAAGATACGGAATCAATTTAACTGTGCATCAATGGATGATGGATAAAGCAAATGTAGAAAATATGCACAAGAGAATACTACTCAACATTTTAAAAAATGGAAATTCTGTCATTTCTGACAACATGGACAAATTTGGGTATGGTGGCACACGCCTGTGGTCCCAGCTACATGGGGAACCACTGTGTTAAGTGAAATAAGCCAGGCACAGAAAGACAAATGCCAAATGCTACATGATCTCACTTAATGGAATGCAAAAAAAGTTAACTTCATGGGACGGAGAGTAAAATTCTGGTTATCAGAGGCTGGGGGTTGGGGAAACAGGAGATGTCTGTAAAAGGACACAGAACTGCAGTTAGTAAACAAAAGTTCAAGAGATCTACTTACATCAGGTGATTACAGTTAATGACAATATGTTGTATACTTGAAAACTGTTACAAAATGTTAAGTGTTCTTGCTACAAAAAAATATGTGAGGTAATACAATAAACAGCTTGATTTCCCCATTCCACAATGTATACATGTATCAAGACATCATGTTGTACACCATAAATATATAATTTTTACTTAAAAATATAGAAAACAAAAAAACTACAAAAAATAAAAAGCAAAGCACAATTACCATTTTCATCTCCTAACCGTTAACATGTCTCAGCTAGAGATTTCTTTTTTTTTAAATTCCAGGACATGACAACTTTATATCTAAATTATGTAATTTTTAAAAAAACGAATGCTGGTAAGTCAATTATCAGGTTTTTCCTGTATTTCTCACACTGCTAAATAGTTTGGGGTTAACTTAAACAAAAATCATCCTTCTGTCTTTTAGGCAGTTTGAATAACACAAACAGGGTAACATATACCTCCTACATAGATGTGCACACACAATCTAAAGTTCTACGGTCATCTTTAAAAGATAAAAAAGATAAGTGAAAATGTATGAATTAATGACTATGCTATAATAAAAGCATATAACTAGGCTTTAAGTCCAAAGACCACATTACTAATTGTGATTTCAGTCAAGTTACTTGTCCTTTCTAAGGCTTAGGGAAACTTCTAACATTTGAATAATACCTCCCTCTCAGAATAGAGTGTTTAATGAATTGTAAACATCTATAAAAATAGTTCTCCTTATAAATTAAAAAAAAAATCAAAATAAGCACATAGAATGCTCAGATCATCATAATCTCTGTTTGTATGATTTCCTTGGGAAGACCAAATAAATTTAAAAGTAGTAAGTAAGGCATTCAGCTTCTATAACAATAAGCAAGTACAATATACCACAGAAAAATTTAAATTTATATAGAATAGGTCAATCTTGAGAAACAATGTTAGCTCTGAAGAAGTTAATGTCCCATCAACCCTTCTTTTCCATAATAAACTGTTTTTGCTGAATGTATAACTAAAAATAAAATGTTCTCTTCTAAGGACATAAGGTATACATTTTAAATCTTCAATTAGACCTTTGCACATTTAATCTAAAGCTATTATATAGTTTTAGAATAACATGACTTATTATAATATTTTAAATAACCCGAGGTAAAACATTATCAATTTGTTCTTGGCTCTATCCATAGTACCCAAAACGGTGCCTGTATATTTTAAATAATGTCAATGAAAATGGATCCTGGAGAAGGGTAGAAAAAAGGCCAGTACTGTTTTCAATAAAGCCTAAATCACTCCAAAATTTAATGTAAATGAAATATGTATTTTCCTCCCAAGCACTTAGATATAAGGACCACTATGTATGTCATGCCAAACACGCAAAGCACCATAAAGTGTCACAATGTGGTTTAAAATTTTCAAGTATCTTAAAGAAAGAGTAGTCCAGCTATTTCATCTTCTATCTTGGATATATTTAAGAATGTGAATTTTAAAATAGACACCACTTAGTTTAATTCTATCAGAAATATATTTTAAATCTCTAAAAGTCTCTGTTTCTTATCACCTATGTACTTTTATTTTATAATGCATGATTGAGATTCTTTCATGTTGATTTCAACCTTAATTCCTAACAAAATAGAATTCAAAATTCACCAACGACTCTTATTTAGAAGACTGTGTATGTGTATATATATCTCTCACATAGAGCTTTATTCAAAACTAGCTTTATAAATTCAGTATGTGCAAACACCCACCTAATAAGATACTATAAGAATGGTATAAAATTGTCTTATGTGCAAGGAAAAATAATTTTCCAAAAACAACTTCTTAAAGAGGAAAAATGAAGGTAAAGAAATTAATATAAATAGTACTAATCAAAATTTTTATACTTACAAATGCTGCTAAAGTTAGCAGGATAAATTACTCTTTTACTTCTAACAGTAAATGTTTAAAGGAATGTACAAGTAATGCTTTTTAAATCACTTGGCCATATACTCTAGTATTTTGCTCGTACAGTTTGTGCTTTTTATTTTTACATTTGTACCATCTTTTTGTTGAAAATTATAGCTTCCACTTATACAATGTACCCATTATTTGAAGTGATTTTTTTTCACATTTTCAAGATATTTAAAAGTTCAGTAGGGTGATGATTTTCCAGAGTTTTCAAACTCAACAATTATATAATTTATTAATCTGATTGGGCTTTTAACAGTAATTAATTATAGATTTAAGTACATAATTTTAATAACATTTAAAATGTAAGCCTCTTTTCATTTTACATTAGCCATAAAAGCATTTGAATCTGTGTAAATAATAGTAAACTATTAACAAATATTGAGAAATCAATTCAGCAATCTGTGTGAACACAAGAGGTTTTCCTTTTTCATTTAAAAAAAATGCCTACAGTGAGATATCAAAATTAGGAAATGACATCTTCTTTTCCTTAGGCATGTAATTATTTTACAGTATGTGTTGACTTCCCTAGATCACACCAGTTTAAAAGAGGGTTAAGCCCCTAAACACAGAACAACCAAAAGATTGTAATGCTCGTACCTAATATCTTCTAAACTGGCTTTGGAATAGTCACCACTTTATCACATTCCATTTTGTTTTATCGTCTTTTCATGAAAAGGAAAGTCTTCCCCTAACTGGTAACATCCAGATTATAAATATAACCTTCCTACTCCAGAGCTATAATTTGAGTTTTGACTGCCACTCCCGTTATTCAACTGTCATCTTCTTTATATGATGAAGAAGCGCATCTTTTTCCAAATGAGCCTCTGCAAGAGCCATTTTAGCTTTAGCCAGTTCCTGTTTAAGAAATTCATTCTCTTCCATGAGCTGAAATGATAAATGGTAGGGGTAGGGATAAGATAATTTAATCATTTCAGGAAATATAGACTATTTACATAGTATCCAAAGGCATGACACTTGGGATAGTAAAAATGTCCAATGCTGGTGAGGGTGCATTTAAGCTGAAAATTGCTTTGAGACAATATTTGGAAACATATATCAAGACTTAAAATACGTTCCCATGCTTTGACCTAGTTATACGAAACACTAACTCCTAATTTCCAAGTCTAATAGTGACTTTGTTTCACATGAATTTTCCCAGACCTCTCTATGGCTTTAGACATTGCTGAACTACCCCTACTTTCTCAGCCTCTCTCTTTTTTTGGCTTTTATGCCACAACTGTTTCATATTTATCCCTTTTAATCTACGTATGCCCTTTTCATCTTTTCTTCTACTTTTTAAAAAGTCTTAAAATTTGACATTCTGTTAGTTCCATTGCTGGGTCTTCTTCTCTTGTCATGAGTCACTTTCTTGGATGATTTTATCTACTTCCATGGCTCCAACTATCATAAATAGACTCACCTAGCACAAACCTCTCTCTTGAGCTCCAGACTCAAATTCTGAACATGTCATCAGACATTTTCATCTAGATGGCCAATAGTTCTCTGCCACCCGTTTAAGACTTAGCAATTATTTTATCCTCTTAGAGCCATTCCCTCATAACTAGGAATGGCTATATTAGAGCAAATATATTAGAGCAAACATAGCCATTCCTAAGTATGGGGAAATGATAAAATATGCATTACACAGATACATTAAAATATATGCAGTTAATTTCAAATAGTTCTCAAACTTCTTCTAGTTCTAGCTTAAGAATTCTTGCCTTATAGACCAAGTGAGGTAGTTTCCTATACTTTCCTTCATCTGTAGTATAGCATCTCACACAGTACATTGTGACTATCAATTGAACACTCTTCTTCCACTAGACTTTGAGTTCTTCAATAGTTAGGGGTCATATACTATTCCATTCTATATCCCTAGCTCAGAGTTGGCACTGAATAAATCCTCACTGAACAAATGAATTAACTCATCCTATGGTTTTATCATACAGATTAAAACGCTGCTGAACATTCTGTTTCTTTATAATGGCAAAAAAAAAAAAAAAAAAAAAACGAAACTCAGAAGCAACATGAATGTTAATAAATGTTTAGAGGAAGTTTCAGAAATGACAGCACACCTAAAACCATATTACTCAGCCATTAAAAATAAATGTTAAACAAATATAGCAATATGAAAAAAATTTGTTAAACAAGTAAAATTATATAGTATGTACACTTGAATATTAATTATTTTTTAAATAAAAAAGAATCTACGAGGAAAAATCACAAAAATACTAAGACAGCACTGGAGGAAGGCAGAAGGCACTAAATTTTTATTTATGTTGCTCAACACTATAACCATAGCACCTCACACAGCACCTGGGCACAAGAACAAGCACTCGGTACTTTTTATTTAAATAACAATGATTTCACTATTAGTATCTTAATACTTAATTATTTAATTGCTGAAACTGAATCTGAATTAGGTTTCCCATTACCTGTTCCCTAGTAAAGTCAGAGGAGCACTCAGGAAAGTTAGCTGACTGAGAAGGCCAAGGACTTGTCTGAGTGGCTTCAGTGACACTGCACTGTTTCTTCAGATCATACCTTCCACTCGTCAGCGGCACTGAATCGCTTTTGACATTTTCTTTCACATCATTTCCAGTATTAAGAATGTGAGAATCTGATTAAACAAATAACATGCTCAGATAACATTTCCAAATACTTGACAAATCTTTAAAAGTTCAATTGTGAGAATCTAATTTAAAAATAAATATCCATATATATTAGTATGAGGGTAGCAGTATGACATAAAAAACCAATAAAACCAAAAGCTCATTCTCTGAAAAGATCAATGAAATGAAAGGATCTAAATAAACTAAAAGATCAATGAAGCTAAAAGATCTAAATGAATAGTTTATTTAGATCAACTAAACTTTCCTTTGTAAGAATTCTTTCTAAGTATTTGTCAATTTCATCTAAGTTACATAATTACATAATTTATTATGTTTATACTAAAGGTTTGTTAGATTTAACAGATTTAAAGGCTTATGATTAACTAATAAATAAACCTTTAGTTAGACTGACCAAGAAAAAGAAATTACTAGAATCAGAAATGAAAGAAGTGACATTCTACTAACCTTACAGAGATTAAAAAAAAAAAAATACTATAAAGGAACACTAAAAACAACAGTATGGCAATAATTAGATAACTTAGGGCAGACACAGTGGCTCACTCCTATAATCCCAGAACTTTGGAAGGCCCAGCTGGGAGAATTGCCTGAGGCCAGGAGATGGAGACCAGCCTGGACAATGCAGCAAGACCTGTCTCTGTAAAAAGTAAAAATTAAAATTAAAAAATAATTATGTAACTTAAGGCTAGGCATGGTGGCTCACACCTATAATCCCAGCACTTTGGGAGGCCGAGACGAGAGAGGCAGATCACCTGACTCAGGAGTGTTCGAGACCAGCCTGGCCAACAGTGAAACCCTGTCTCTACTAAAAATACAAAAATTAGCCAGGCATGGTGGTATGCGCCTGTAGCCCCAGCTACTTGGGAGGCTGAGGCAGGAGAATCACTTGAACCTGGAGGCGGAGGCTGTAATGAGCCAAGATCACACCACTGCACTCCAGCCTAGGTGACAAAGCGAGACTGTCTCAACAACAACAACAATTATGTAACTTAGATGAAGTAGACAAATTCTTAGAAAGAGATAAACTACCCAAATAGACTCAAGAAGACAATGTCAACAGACTTTAAGCTGGGAGAGACTGAATCAATAATCATAAAATTACCCACAAAGAAAAGCCCAGGCCCATGTGGCTCTACTGGTGAATTCTATCAAACATTTAAAGAATAATATTAAATCTTTAAAAGCTCTTCCAAAAATCCGAACATTCCCAAACTTTCTATGAAGGCACTATCACCCTGATATCAAGTCTAGACCAAAAAAAAAAAAAAAAATCACAAGAAAACTAAGACCAATATGCTGATGAATATGGACATAATTGTTAACAAAATGTTAGCAAACTGAATCCAGCAACATACATAACTATAAAGCAGGGTCAACTGGGATTTGTCCCAGGCATGCAAATATATCTATCATCCAAAAATTAACTAATGTAATACATCATATCAACAGAATAAAAGGCAAAACCCACATGATCATTTCAATAGATGCAGAAAAAGAATCTGATAAAATCTAGTATCTTTTCAGGGTAAAAACACTCACTAAATTAGAAATAGAAGGGAACTTCCTCAATCTAATAAAAGGTCATCAATGTATAAACATCCCACATCTAATATCATACTTAATGGTGAAAGACTAGACTCTTTTCCTGTTGCCAAAATCAGAAACCAGACAAGGCTATTATTGTCACTTCTATTCAACATTGTCTTAGAGGTTCTAACCAGTGCAACTGGGCAAGAAAAACAATAAAAGACATTCAGATTGGAAAGGAAAAAGTAAAATTATCTCTATTAGACATAATCTTGCATGTAGAAAAAAAAAATAAGGAAACAACTAAAAAACTACTGGGACTAATCAAGTTCAGTGAGGTTGCAGGATATAAAATCAATATACAAAAATAATTACATTTTTATAATGTGTAATGAAGAATCCACAAATGAAAGAAAACAATTCCATTTAAAATACTGTGAAAAAGAATATGAATAAACTTAACAAAAGAAGCACAAAACTTACTATACTTTGAAAACTATAAAATATTGTTGGAAGAAATAAAAGATGATCTAAATATCCCACTGTTCATAGATTGGAAGACTTAATGTTGTTAAGATGGCAATAATCCTCAAACTTATCTACAGCTTTAACACAATCCCCATCAGAAGTTGAGCTGGCTGCTTTGTAGAAATTATCACGCTGATGTTAAAATTCATATGGAATTGCAAAGGACCCAAAAGAGTAAAAAAAGTATTGAAAAGGTACAACAGAGTTGGATGACTCACATGTTCCAATTTTAAAACTAACTCCAAAGCAAGCTGGTAATCAAGACAGCATGGTAGTATCAAAGACAGACAAGTGGAACAGAATTGAGAATCCAGAAATAAATCCATGTGTCTTTAATCCTTACCCACATATCAAAAACAAAAATTGATATATTTGCTGTAAAGAGCTACATTGAATCACTAATTCTATACAATTCTTCAAATAAAACATGAGAAAATACTATGATCTCAGATTTGGCCATGGATTCCTATATAGGACTGCCAAGGCACAGGCAACAAAAGAAAACAGATAAATTGAACACTGTTGGTTTAAGAAATTGCCACGGCTACCCCAACCTTCAGCAACCATGACTGTCATCAATCAGCAGCCATCAAGACCCTCCACAAGCAAAAAGATTACGACTCACTGAAGGTTCAGATAATCATTAGCAGTTTTTAGCAGTCAAGTGATTTTTTTTTTGTTGTTGTTTTTTTGTTTGTTTGTTTTTGAGACGGAATCTTGCTCTGTTGTCCTGGCTGGAATGCAGTTGCGCGATCTCGGCTCACTCTAACATCCGCCGGCTGGGTTCTAGCAATTCTCCTGCTTCAGCCTCCCAAGTAGCTGAGATTACAGATGTGTGCCACCACACCCAGCTACTTTTTGTATTTTTTGTAGACAGGGGTTTTGCCATGTTGGCCAGGCTGGTCTTGAACTCCTGACCTTAGGTGATCCACCCACCTCAGCCCCCCAAAGTGCTGGATTACAGGTGTGAGCCACTGTGCCTGAGCAGCAATCAAGGATTTTTAAATTAAGCTATGTACATTTTTTAGTCACAATAATAGTGTAAATATGACTTTCATATGCACTGGTAAACTGAAAACTTTGTGTGACTTGCTTTATTGTGATACTCACTTCATTGTGCCGGTCTGGAATCCGATCTGCAGTATATGTAAAGTATGCCTATATAAGGAAGAAGTTCAGCCTTCTTCATGTGGATATCTGGTGATTCCATCACCACTGGTGGAAAGGGTATTCTTTTCCCCATTGAATTGTTTTGCCAGCCTTGTCAAAGATCAATTAACGTTAAGAGTTTATCTCTGGACACTCAATTCAATTCATTCCAATTACCTTTCACTAAGCTCCTTTTATACTCCATCAGCTAAAAAATATTTCTAGCTTATAATTATAAAAGTTGATTAGTATTATTATTTTCAAATGTTTGAGAATTACTGCATGTCTTGTATTTTCCTATTTTCTTGTTTATGTTTATCCCATTTTCTTGTCTATAAACACTGTTTCCATTTGCTATAGCCAACCTCTAGTGATGGTGGGAAAGGAAAGGCTGCTCAACTGGGTGAGATAAGCCAAGTCTGTTAATTGGATAGGGAATCATTCCCTTCCTGGAGGCTTAGCAGCTGCAGAAACTACCCTCAATATTTTACTTTATATGCAAAATCTACTGACGTCTACTACTGGGCAGGGGCACAGGAGAGGATCCCAAAAAAGCAATGCCCATATTATTCATGCTATTGCTTCAGGGCTCATTCTAACCTCAGTATCTTGTTGGGGAGATTCTTCCTATTTTTAAGGAGGAACTTCAATCGTGTAGTCCTCTTGAATTCTCTTGGTCCTGTTTCTCACTGCTTCCCCCGGAAGAAGGTATGACTTATCTGATTGATGATTTTTTTTTTTTCAAGAACTATATATATATATATATGTGGTTCAGTCTCTTGCTTTGGTATATGCTGTACCTCCTGCTGAGAGGGTGCATTCTTTTCTTTTTCTTTTTAGAAGACAGACCTGAATTTCTGGGAGCTAACACATTTGGGAAAGAGAGCTATGCAGCAAGCCCGTCTTCCCAGATACCTAAGCTATTCTCTCCACCTGAGCTTTTATCAGTAACGAAGCTACAATTTTGATCTCTGTTGGCCTTTCTCCTATGTCTGACTCCAGATGCTCTCAAACTACAGAGGAAAAGACTCTTCAAGAGTCTCCCACAAACTGTTCCCACATCTGCAACTGTCCTCTCCTTTCTTTTGTAGCACTGTTAATGACTTTATTCTTCAGTGTATGTTTTCTGTCATTTAATGAGGTTTTTGATAGGAGATGAAAGAGATGTATATATCAGTCCTTCAATTAGCTATAATAGTGAAGCCCAAAACATCTAAGTCTACTGGCTCACACTCTTTCTACTACCTCATACCACCTTGTAAGACACAGACCTTACTAGAGTGGAGATACAAACATTGAATGTAAACTAAGCATATAGACAATACACTATAAGTAACTAATGCACAGAAAAGTCCAAAAGAAGTGGAAGAACTCACATCAGAGTATAAAGAAAGCGTCACTATACATCAGAGTATAAAGAAGAAACTTGAGACAACATTGAGAGGATGAATGAAATCCACATAGCGATGAGCAATTCCAAAGAGAAATAACAAGGCAAGTAAGAACAGAGATGGAGAAGTGCAAGGTAAGTTCCATTATAAGGAGTATAAATAGTAAATAAAGCTAAGAAAGATGTCAACTGAGAGGCATGAGTAAGATCAAGAGACGTGTAAGAGCTCGAAGGCCTCTCTCACTTTCTACAACATTCCAAACGTGTGTACAACAGGTACTAAGCCAACCATATATGAGGCTTCTTCCCAGGGTAGAGGCCCGTACATATATAGATAATATTTTATTACGATGTACTGAAGGTGTCCCGCAATCTTCCACTACTGCATATGTACATACATATAAAATAAATGAGTAAAAAGAAACAATCAGTATGTAAATAATTTAACTTCAAAATTTGAGGTGTTCATTTAAATGGTTTTTCATTGGCTGGGTATGGTGGCTCACGCCTGTAATCCCAGCACTTTGGGAGGCTGAGGCAGGTGGATCACCTGAGATCAGGAGTTTGAGACCAGCCTGGCCAACATGGTGAAACCCTGTCTCTACTAAAAATACAAAAATTAAGTGGGTGTGGTGATGGGCACCTGTAATCCCAGCTACTCAGGAGGCTGAGGCAAGAGAATCTCTTGAACCAGGGATGCGAAGGTTGCAGTGAGCCGAGATTGCACCCCATTGCACTCCAGCATGGGTGACAAGAGCCAAAACTCTGTCAAACAAACAAGCAAACAAAGAAACAAACAAAAAACAAATAAATAAATAAATGGTTTCTCATATATACCTCTAATATGAAAAGAGCCATCATCATTTCTCTCTACCACAAGATGATCAATATGTATAGTTACAGGAGTTGGTTCAAGGGATACTGTACTACTCCGGGGAGTGTCATCCTACAGGAAAGAAAAAGAACATTGCCATGTTACTCTAGCCAGTCATATTTTTAATGAGTTAAAGATAAAACATGTATCTTTATATGTTTCAACTGATACAGTGAGAAAACTGCCTGTTATATTTTGAAATTTCCAAAAAAGATCTCTACGTCATTTACCAAAAAAGACAAACAAAATCGTTTTAATAAATCCTGATAGAACATAAATTATAGAGAAGGCACATTCTTAGACATGAATGAAAGTCCAGGTAGGCAAAAGGAACATGACAATATAAAATTATTTATTAACATACTTTTAAATTTATTTTTGTGTTAGAAACTTGTATCTTCATTGGCATTACTGTTGCAACAGTTTCATCTTCCAAAAAATGTTGAATATTCAAAAGGGAAGATGTAAGAAACTCAGTGCTGAAGTTTTCTATGTGGCACTGCAGAAATCCATTTTTTTCTGCAAGTAAAGAGTGTATTACAGCACCAGGCCCACTTTCAAACCTCAGAGAAATCTCAGGAGAGGATTTGGAATGAATTACAGCTTTCTGATCGGAACCTAAGGAAGATGAACATATAAAAATGTTTGTAGCACTGTTCAATAATATTACTATTATGTGTCATGTAGTACATTAAAATAATACTAGTTTTACTATTTACCCCTAGTTTAAATTAAACCCCTAGTTTAAATGATATTCTATAGTACATATACAATATACATACACCCACTAATTCCAATATTTTAAGGCAACTTTCTCCTACAATAACGTTGATTTTTCTATATTTCCTGTTTTTTTTGATAACAAGAAAAACATGTTATCAAGAAAAACATGTCATGATATAACTCTGGTGTGATACATACCTCAGATACTTAGTGTGTGTTTGATTGTATACCTAACTATACATTCAAATGGTGGCTGTGATGCAGAAATAAGTTAGATATTTAAGGTGACTCTTACGCCATTTCTCAAGAAGCAACAAAAGCCTGAGGTTTTGCAGTTTCCTCATAAAACTGGGGCCTTAAATAACAGAAAAATAAACAGAGAAAACCTCATTAAATTGTTTCTATTAGAAGGCAAACCAAAAACGGATATAATAAGGGAAAAGTGTGTGTGTACGTGTGGGTATGTAAAACTACATTTACTTATGCCTGGACCCTGTCCCCCCAAAAAATTTATAGATGGCATAGAGAGTATAAACACACAGTTTAAAAACAAATTTTAAAATTCCAACGAAGCTCCAGTAGGATATCTAACTTAAAAAATACAAATTCCTAGTGAAATCACTGAAGTAAATTACTTGTGAACTCACGGTAACTATTTTGCTTATTTATTTTATGTTACTTGGTTCCAAAATGTGTAAGAGGCACTATGTACATGGTATAATCTGATAAAAAAATGAGGAGACAAGGAAAAAAGGATGGAAGGGAAAAGGGAATGGTAGTTGGTAAGGTTAATAACCCAAAATTAACCTTACCAACTACCATTATTTAAATTCCTATACCGAAAGGTGGACCAAAAATGAGCTCCCTAGCAAAAAAGATAAAAATATGATCAGTTTCACAACTCATATAACCCATAAGATAAAAACAAACTCATTCTGGAAAGGCAAAGCCGTTTCAGTTTCTGAGATATGAAAGTTATTTATCCCATGGGTCCCCATAAGAAGACTGCTGTATCAATTCATGATAGATTTTTTAAAATTCATAATGAAAAGGTATTTTATTTTTCTTCAGCATGGATGTGACTAAACAGGTCAAATATATGCATATTTGTGAAAGGGGGAGAGTTGCAAGAAACTAAAGATGTGTGTATTTATTTATACCAAGGATAGGTCTCCATTCACAATTCCAGGTGGAGAGTTGCTCTTAAAACTTCCATTCCAGGTACAGAATTATACTTACTGGTTTTTTTTTTTTTTTCAGACGGAGTTTCACTCATGTTACCCAGGCTAGAGTGCAATGGCGTGATCTGGGCTCACCGCAACCTCCGCCTCCTGGGTTCAGGCAATTCTCCTGCCTCAGCCACCTGAGTAGCTGGGATTACAGGCAGGCACCACCATGCCCAGCTAATTTTTTGTATTTTTAGTAGAGACGGGGTTTCACCATGTTGACCAGGATGGTCTCGATCTCTTGACCTCGTGATCCACCCGCCTCGGCCTCCCAAAATGCTGGGATTACAGGCTTGAGCCACCGAGCCCGGCTATACTTACTGTTAATACTACTTATTAACATTCCAGAAAATAATACAAGAGTTCAAATGTAACTCCAAAGAATTATTTAATTATTTCAAAATTCACATATTTTTATTTTTTAAAATAGAAGGTAAAATAAATGGTCACAAATTGGTAATGGTTAGTGTTCTTTCCCATGTCAAGAAAAACAAGAGTGAACTTGCTGAACAAGAGAACTTGCCAACAAATAAACTGGATAATGTGATTTTATTTTGCCTTTTTATCTACCTAGATCTACACACACACACATTCTAATTCCACGGAGTAAAGCCAGAAATAATTTCAAACAAAAATAGTTTTTTTGGAGACAAAATAAAACAAAACAAAAACTTTCTTAGTCAAAATCATTCCTCCCTACTACCCCTTATGCCATGGAATTATTATGCCATGTCTTCCTATTGAAGCTCCATATACTATAGAAAAAACAACCACAAACTACAAATAGTAATTATTATTATTATAAATAAATGTAATTTTCCTTGAATTCAATTATAGTCAAGATAGGACTTCTGATGAGACATATGTAAAAGAAAAAAATTAAAACATATTAAACCACTGTATATGAAAAGTAATTTTAAAAAAAATCTTACCAACTGGACGATTACAAAGGTAATGCCGCAGACTGATATTGCCTAACTGGTCTGGTGTCACCTGGTTCACTTGAAGACAAATTTCTGTATCTTCCCCTCGGATGTCAATTTCCCCATTAACACCAGTAATTTTAAACACCACAACGGACATCTATTAATGATTGCATAAATGATATTAGTATGCCAAGCAGTTCAAAACAAAATTTAAGAAATAATATAGGAAAACTACCATCACCCTCTAAAAATATACTTGTGAACTTCCAGACCAAAAATATACTTGTGACCTACAGAACATGGTTGTTACGTTATAGTGAAAACCTTTTCTTTCATTTATTAAAAAAAAAAATTAGGTCACAAGGATTGCAGAATGATTTTCATTAAAAGTTAGACATAATATCTTTTTCAAGTCTTCCATAAGAATATTTCACTGCACCAAGAGGGCTTAAGAGAAACCACTAGCTTGGGCAACACAGTGAGACCTCCTCCTATCTACAAAAAAATTTATAACAGCCAGGTGGGGTGGTGTGTGCCTACAGTCCCAGCTACTTGGGAGGCTAAGGCAGGAAGATCACTTAAGCCCAGGAGTTCAGAGTTGCAGTGAGCTATGGACACAGCTCAGCACTCCAGCCTGGGCAACAGAGTGAGATCCTGTCTCTAAAAAAATAAAAATAAAAAACATAAAATGCAAGACAGAAAAAAGAAAGAGCCTCCACTCCTCAAAATGAATAAAACAAATTTAGAAAAATAAAATCAAAGGAAAAACAATTGATTAGGAGGGAAGCGTTTTCAAGAATAAAAGGAGCAAAATGAATTGCCCACCATCTAAGAATTCATTTTATATGAGTGTCTCAAAATATGTACATATCAAATATGAAATAAAGTTGGTGGCACTTTTCTTCATAGAATCTCTCTCAAATGATTACTACCAGGTCATCATGATTTTCTTGAGCACCCTCTGAATTTGTACTGATGGCATCTGGAGAAGTTTCACCATAATTCTGTAAGTTTGCACTGGCATTCACACTTTCTGCTGTGCTCTGGTAATTTGTAGTTGAGTTCTTTTTATTTCCTAAAATAATAGAAAAGTAAATTCATAAATTAAAGTCAGTTTTGCACATGATATAACATTGCAAGCTTATTTAACAAAAATGGACTATCCTTTCAACGCTTTCTCAAGCACTGCCTCCTTTAAAAAAATGGACCAAGAAAAATTAGATTGTGATTAGTTAGCAAACAATGAATGTGCTATAATTCAATATTTCTCAAATTATCTGTGGTAAAAAACAATTTTTAAAACATTTTGTAGCCATCACAGATCAATACTTTTTAAAAATGCCATGAAAATGAATTAATAGAAAAATCAGGTAAGAAAACCTAAAGACCTATAAAACATAGGTCTTAATTTATTATTATATTTTCTACCTTATAATCAGCTTCTAAACTAGTGCTTGGCAATATGTTAGATGCTCAATAAATTATTAAATAAATGGCCTGGAAAAGATGCCTGTAAATACAGTTGTAGTATGAGGGGCTAATAAAAGCATTTCAAGGGGGATTCCTAACATCGTCGGGGTTAAGAAGACATATCTGATAAAATAATATTTCCACTAAGGTGAACAAAGGCTGGGTGTGGTGGCTCATGCCTGTAATCCCAGCACTTTGGCGAGAGGATCACTTGAGCCCAGGAGTTCAAGACTAGCCAGGGCAACACAACAAAGCATCATCTCTACCAAAAATACAAAAATTAGCCAGACATAGTGGCACTC